GGAGAGGAGATTTACAGTCTTGAGGGAGCGATTGCTCGCGATTTGGGTTTGTGAGAGGCGATATTCGAGTTAGGAGAAGGTGATCATCGGTTTGAGGTGACAATTTATTGATTTGTTGGGTTTGGGGAGTCGATGAAAGCAGTGCCGTCAAATGGTTTTGGGGGAGTAGATGTTCGCGTTCAATTTTGGGACTTTTCAATTTTTATTTTTTCTGTGAGTTAAAAAATGTGATTTTTGAACACAATTATTCCACGTCATTAGCAACTACACTACTTGGCATCCACTGATTACAAAAAGTGCCACATAAGCTATTCGATTACGTCAGCAATTTCATCAATTTTTCTAACAGTGGATGATGGACATTATTACACATTCCAAATTTCAGTGATTAACGGTGTATATTTAAAGTTTAGTGACTCATATGAAACTTTAAGCAAAATGTAACCATTATCACTAATAAATGAGTTCAAAAAGTCATGAAGGTATAAAAATAATTAGTGAAAAATAACTTGAAGACTTTAATTTTGTCTCAAGCAATATATATTTTAAATAATTTTTAAGCAATGATCTACCGGTTCAACCACCAATTCATCGGTCCAACTAGTAACTCGATGACTCGGTATCTCGATATGGTAGATGTTCGGGTCTAATAACTATGGTGAAGGCATAGAAGTGTGTCTGGAAATGATGTAGTGCAAGTGTTTGGGTATTTCTATAAGAATTAAGCTCCTTGCACATATAATTCTTACAGGGATTTCAACAACACTGCATTGGTTGATTAAACTGTGTTTTTTGTTCAACATCCAATTAAATCCTGATGGTTGGTAATGTGTCAAAAAAATTGTCAATCAACCATATACATGAGTACATGCAGCAGGATTGTATCGATAATCACTTAGGGTCCGTTTGATTGTAAGGGTGGAAAATGGGTGAAAGAAAATGAATTTTAGATAAAGTAATTGCCTAGAACTTGTTTTTTAGAAAATTATTAATTAAGTGTATTTGATTGGTATAATTTTCCACTCAGAAAAATTTAAAATTTTGTATCTTTTTGTATTTGTTTGGCTTTGTTTTANTCTTTTTGTATTTGTTTGACTTTGTTTTACATGAAAATTATCCATTAAAATGATAATTTTTTTCACAATTGGTTATAAAATTTGTTTCCATTCCTAGAAAGTAAAAAAAAAAATTCCTCATTTTTTTTTCATTAAAGTTTTAGTATTCGTTTGACTTTATTTTATATGAAAATTGTCCATTAAAGTGAATTTTTTTTTTTTTTGTTTTTTACAATTGATTATGAAATTTGTTTTCATTGCAAAAAAAAAAAAAAACACTTGAAATTCAGTTTCCCACCAAAATGGTGGGAAAAACAATTCAACCAAATCATGGAATTGGTGCACGTGTGGACCATTTGTGGAACGTGTTTTGTAGGTAAATTTTGTGTCATCAAACACTACAAAAGATGGAAAATAGAATTCCATTTTCCATGGAAAATCTCTCTTATCAGGCCTTATAAATGGCGAAAATGGATGGTGCTAATATGAAAATCCACTCATGCATGCATACATGCGAACCTTTCAATTTCTCAAAGCCAAATAAGTTACTTTTTCAAAATAGTTTTAAAAATGATTATTTGTTAGCTTGTGAAATAAGCTAATTCCATGATATCTTTACCGGGTCACAAAATTCAGAGGCACTAAAAGACGAATTGAATTTCTTATTCTAAAATTTGTTCAAATTTTCTTGGTCCAATATTGGGCTAATTATTTGAGGATCGAGCTGAAATTGTTATGTAGCTTTCCTTGTATCATTTCAAAGAGCTCAATGTTAATTTCACAATGAAATAAGAATCACGTCAATCAGATAATCATGACGAACGTACAACCATCCCAAATAGGGCTACTCGGTCACTGGTTGTGAACACTAAATTTTAGCAGCAAATTTATTTTTTGGTCCCATTTTGGCACGTGTTTTGAGGCATTAATGCGTGTCCAAATTATGCAAATCGGATATCAAATCGACGAACGCCCTAACAACCAAAAGCTATATATAAACGTACGGCTAGCAATGGCATCTCAAAGCTGCCCGGTAAGGTTAAAACAGTCCATAAACTTCCAGTTTATCACGTTTTGGTCCTCAACCCTAACGTTCTCATTTTTCCAATTGAGTCCCTTAATAAACCATAAATTTTGAATTGGATCCTTCACTAATTTATTTAAATCCTGATTTTCCCTTTATTTTTAAAATAAAAATTTTCGTAAGTTTTGGAAGCATTACATGCATTCTAGCTATCCTAACGAACCCTATTTACTAATTTTCGTTAGTTATATAAAAATTATGGGCTAAAGAAGTCTTTTTTTCTTACAAATTCAACACTCAACTTTCACATACTTATAATGTTATTCATTATATTCAGGTATGTCAATAAAAATTAACATAATGTGTATGTTGGGTATGGTTACATATAAACTCAAACAATAACTTTTAAGAATGGGATTTTACTCTTAACATTTTTTCACAAGATAATTACTCGTTTGAGCACATCAATATTAAAATTCAATTTCTCGTTTGAGCTTTAGACTAACCAAATTACTTGTTTGAGCTCGACGAACTGTTAATACAACTTATGGATTCATTTTTTAAAAGGTAAACCTTGTTGAAATGAGTAATCAAAATCCTTATATCTTAATTCGTCAAACCTGACTTCCAAGGTGAACGTGGAAGAGAAAAAATCATTCAACAACCTGTTTCTCAGAAATTCCTCCAAAAACATTTATGGTAATGTTTCATAACGATGTCTAATAGCACCGAACATTATTATAAAATAAGTTAAGGTCTGGTTCATTATTTGTTGTTGTGTATCGCATATTGTTTAGTTTTGCAAATGTACGATACCACCGAACTCATAGTAAACTGAACCTAAAGAATCCGGATTATGATTCTCACGAAGAACTTATTACTTATCTTAAATCCTAAAATTTATTTGAATCAAGACTTGAAAAGAGACAGTAAATTGTTGTTTTATATTCTAATTCCGAAACTAATATTAAACTGTTTTCGGTCAACTAGTTGATTTTAGCATAAACAATGGAAACAAATATTGAAACTTACGCTTTCACCTTAATTTGTCCACTTGATTTATCATACAAATTTATGGAAGATATTCATAGTGTATCCGACTAAACTTCTCTAAAATAATTAAAAACATCTCCCAAGAAAATTCAATTCTACCTAATTAAGTAAACTCACTATATTTTTACATGAATTTAAGCCTAATTAAATCCATTATTAAACTACCAAAAAGGTCCAAGCAACGATTGCAATAATTGTAGGAGTATATATCTAACCGCTAGTTAAATTACCAGATTTTAATATTTGGTCTAAACAATTAATTCACCTCTCGACTTATATATCTAACCGTTACTTTCAAATTATATTTTTTTCTATCTTAATTTCAACCACACATTTTTCAATAAAATAATATTATACGTAAATTCAAAATATTTCCTTATTTTCCGCACATTCTCCATCAAACTTGAAAATACTATTTCAAATTGCATTTTGAAAAAAAAAAAAAAAAAAAAACTATATATTTAACACCTAATGTTTAATAAAATTTGTAAGGATCTGAGTAATGATTTGAAATCTTAAAGCTATAATTTGTAAGAATGTATATGAATACATAAGACGTATTATAACTTGCTATCTTGTCCAAAATTCGACTGATGGTCAAATATACTCCAATCAATTTCCAACTTTGGCTACCCCAAGCCAATTGTGATTTGATAGTTTTAAAAATGTGAAAATTAGACCCCATACTTGGCATTTTTCCCAAATTGAAATTTATTGATTTTTAAAATGTTGAAATCTGTATGCTGTAATTTTAATGTACGACTCTTTAATGAAAAAATAAAAAAAGAATATAGCATTTTAAGTCCACGTTTGGTGGGGATTAAAATCAAATTTTTTTGTAAATTTTGATCGAAGTTGATGAAATATGTGGTTAAAAAGTTGTGTTTTTTAGTAAATTTTGATCGAAGTTGATGAAATATGTGGTTAAAAAGTTGTGGAACCTATAAAATATATTGTTAACTTTGATTTAAATTAAAATTTTAATTTTGATCGATACCAAATAGGGGCTAACTGTAATTTTGATATAAATTTATGATATGAAGTACATGACCACATGGTCCGTGTCCCCCGGTATGGCCCCGAAGTTAACAAGTAACTGTTTTAATTTTTTAGACGTTTCAGCTATTTTTTAGTGACTTTATGTTTTCAAGTATCCTTAGACAATAAGGAAAAGTGACGCGTCAAAAAAAAGAAAAAATTCTAAAGGCAGTAATCATCATCATTTTATAAAAGCTCGAAAGTGTGTGTGTGGCCCCAAGTTGTGTCTTTCTCCATATGGCAAAAGTAATTATTGAGGAGACTGAACTATTGAAACTCAAAATGATATTCAAGTTTGTTTTGATGGAAAAGGAATTTTTACATGTTAAATTGATCAAAAAACTACTAAGACATTGCCCATATGACATTCAATAAATCCTCTTGTACAATGATTAACACATTGTAAATTTTACAACGTAACATATTAGGATGAAATCTACTGATTAATTAATCAGTGAGCCTCACCCTAACGTGTCACATTGTAAAAACTTACAATGTGCTAATGATTGTACATCTAACATGTTTATATAACATTACATCTAAATTATGTTCAAAATAATAAAATTGTGATCATTTTAAAGTTGAACCATCAACACCAAATTTCCATTTGTTAGGTTAGCCATTCACTCAGACATAACTACACAACAAACTTGCAATTTCAATGTTTATAATTTCATTCATTGACATAGAACAAATTAATTTTTAATAATTGACAGAATTTTGCTTTTGTGAAAACTACAATTCAGAATTTCCTCAATTTTAAAAGAGAAAAGGAAAAGAAAAGACAGAGGGAAAAAATAATAATAATAATAATAATAATAAAGAAAAAGCTATCCCACTGTACTACTACCACCACTACAAATCCCACCCAGAGACACCACCGAGAATCTACAAAGTCCACCATCGGCCGGCGATGCATCTTCTTCAATCTCCGCCGGAGGCAGAACCCTTCCTTCGGCAAACAAATTCCGGCCATTCTGCGTCTGTTCTTGAACAATCCCTTCCTCAAGTTCCGCAGCAGCGCCACCACCACTATCACCCAAGAAAACGCCATCCCCAAACCTCCTTTCCACCTCCAAATATTCCCCAAGAGACGCCCGCCGACAGTCATAATCATCCCTGCATAGCCTCCACCATCTCCTTCTTTGCCGCCGAAGCCGCTGCTCCTCCGTCGCCATCGCTCCCCGAGCCCGACCCTTTTTGGGTGTCTTGGTTTTCCGGCCGGCGTGTGTGGCGGAGACCGAATTCTCCGACTGTCGGTGCTGGGAGGACGAAGCCCTGAATGTGATGGCCTGCATGGTGACCCCCATAAGTGTGCCAAGTGTGGTGCTTCTGTCATGGAAAAATGAACCTGTAGACTGCAATTATTCACACCAAAAAACACCAAAATGTAAATAAATTGTTAGCATGAAAAATTGAGGATTTGGGATCAAGAAAATTGCACCTCAGTGTCAAGATCAGAAGAAGAAATGGAGGAATGTGTGGGGGATGAAGCCACCAGATCATTTGCTGGATCCATCTCTCTGCGCTTGTGAAATTGTTTCTGGGTTTTGAGGGTGAGATTTGTTGGTGGAATTCTTGTAATTTTGAGTGATTTGTGATTTGAAACTGTAGAGATTTGAGGATGGCTGCTTATAAGTAGTACTATTAAGCTCAGCCAAACATGAGCTTTCGTGTTCTTCTTTGAGTTTGCAGGAGGAGTACTCATTAATGAGTGCTTGTCCCGTGGAGGGCGGGTGGATGGTATTGCGCTGTGCAATCACGCCTCTTGGTGATAAGGGAGGATTAAAAAAGTTTTTGACTTTATTTATTTATTTATCATTTTTTCATTTATCCTCCCCTTAGTAAAAATTGCACGATTAGAACATTTCCAAAAGACTCTTTAAATATAAGATGTTCTCTATTTTAAAGAGTCAATATGTAAAATCATGCTCCAATAAACTCTTTAAATTAATATTTTAATTTAGAGAGTGTGTTTGATTCTCCAACTGTGCAATCACGCCTCTTGGTGATAAGGGAGGATTAAAAAAGTTTTTGACTTTATTTATTTATTTATCATTTTTTCATTTATCCTCCCCTTAGTAAAAATTGCACGATTAGAACATTTCCAAAAGACTCTTTAAATATAAGATGTTCTCTATTTTAAAGAGTCAATATGTAAAATCATGCTCCAATAAACTCTTTAAATTAATATTTTAATTTAGAGAGTGTGTTTGATTCTCCAACTGTGCAATCACGCCTCTTGGTGATAAGGGAGGATTAAAAAAGTTTTTGACTTTATTTATTTATTTATCATTTTTCCATTTGTCCTCCCCTTAGTAAAAATTGCATGATTAGAACATTTCCAAAAGACTTTTTAAATATAAGATGTTCTTTATTTTAAAGAGTCAATATGTAAAATCAAACTCACTCTCTATAATTAAATGTATTCAAAATATCTCAATTTTCAATGTAGGAAAATAATTTAGGAAAATAATAAAATAATATAAATAAAAGTTAGTTAAAATAAAAGATAAACAAAAATAATAAATATTTTTTGGGAGTATTAAAATTAATTGTTAAATGTAAAGAATTTGTTGGAGTACTTCAAAATTTTAACTCTCTAAATTTATAGATACTCTCCAAATGACAGAATCTGCTCTTTAAAAAAAGGAGTCTCTTGGAGATACTCTTAGTAAGTTTCTCTAGTACTAGAGAGTAACTTTCTCCATGTGGTTCTTACTAGATTCTAGCTAGTGGTGGCAAATGAGCCACCGTTCGGCTCGTGGACGACTTGTGCTCGTCAATTGACGAGCCTGGGGCGAGTGGCTCGTGGGCTCGTCCGAAAATGAGGGTATCTTTTTTTTTTTAAAGAAAAAAGTTTCTCTTTTAAAAAAAAAAAATTTGACGAACTCGGGAGCCGAATCTCGGCTCGAGCCACGAGCCACAAGCTCACGGGCCGAGCCGAGGTGAGCACGACCCACGAGTAACGAGCCAAGCTCGTGCACATACGGGCCGAGCTGAGCTCCATTTTTTAATAATACATTTTTCTCCAAATTTATTTTCAAATAAGATTTTTTTAATAAAATAATTTTATACGTAAATCTAATATTTTTCTACTTCTGAACTACACATTCTTCATAAAATCACCATTCTAAAGTCCATTTTTACATATAATGGGTCTCAAACAAGGGCTTAAGATTATGTAATGATGACGTAAACATACTTGCATGCTTTTTACCGAGTTCTAAAGTTTAGAACTTACTTGAAATCCAAAAAACTGGAGGTTGAATCACTTACCTTTGTTTCTAGCTTATTGAGCCAAGCACTCTTTTTTTGGTCAGAAATTTCGATCACAATGGAATGCGTTTGATATCCGCAATTCGGGAACCGATTATGAGATCTTAATCTTGCAAAATCAAGTCGCTCAACCTCGTGCGTGTTTTCTCTATATGTTTATATCCGAACTTGCATTCATGTGTTATGGTTTTAGAGGGTTTGGAGTTATTTAGAAGTTGTTTGTGGTGGAGATTCAAATTCGAACCTCAATTCACTCAACTTTTCTCTCCAAACTACTCTCATGCAATTCGGGTTAGGTCAGCCCACATACGTGACCCGTTTAATACCAACATTTCCCACTCATATATAATGGGTTTGACCTGATTCTAATAAACTATCAATTATATCTATCTTAAGATTTTCATATAGTAAATGAATCGTGCGATCAATGAGTTTATTTAAGAGCACACAATACTGCCTATTAGGGATATATAGAAGCTCTACAAGAAGAAATACATTTCTCGTTATACCCAGACATATTTTTTAATACTAGTTCGAATATTTTTACCCCTCAAAAAATCAAATAACATAATCAATATCCTCATCTATATTTTGTATTCACAATTGTGTTACAAAATCTAAAAAGGTTAACACAATTGTTCGGCCGATGAATACGAGCTAAGGTGCTAGACTAGTTTGACTCCATTCCTACTTGAATTCCTTAATTTCAAGTCAACTACTTTTCTAGACATGCCCTATCAAACAAAATCAACCACAGTTATTGAAAACATGCTAAAGTAGCAACTTCGAAATAAAATTTTGAGAAACAGTTAAAAGTCATAAGGGTATATAAGTAAGGTCATATGTGATTCTGAGACTCACACAATGAAGAAGGTTCCATTCTTTTATTTTTCATTGATCGTTAAAGCATACGTGTTATGAAATATGTGTTACATTTTTTTCTCCCTTTATTATGGCGTATGTCTCATTTTACAAATTAAATATACCGTACAGATCTTAGTTCAGATATTTCTTGATATCTGACATGAGTTTTCCTATATTTATTCCTCTAGGCAATCCTAATCAAGAACTTGATCTAGCTATAAAATAGGTCTAATGGATAGCAAAATCAATTTTTTTTATTTGTTATAATCTCACATGATCACTTTGTCTCATCTCAGCACACTCCAAAGTGTCTGAGGTGATTGTTCTTGTGAGTGAACCAATCTTAACATGTTTGACATATTTTATTGTTCATATAAAGTAATAAGAAAAGATTACTCTTTATCATATGAACTCAAAACATTGTCCATTAATTGACTTATATTAAAAGTTTATATAGTACATAATTTAAATTCTACGTAATCCCAGATATTTAACATGAGTTACAAATACATCTCTATGCATAGGTTTAGTAAATGGATCAGCAACCATTTTGTATAGAAATATATTGCGAACTTCTTTTTTTCCTATGATATCTCGTACAAAATTATATTATATATTTTCCCACATCACCATCACATAGGGATGGAAATCCGACTGTCGGCTCGAACAGCCTGTGGCTCGACTCGAATAAAGCCCGAGTCGGCTCGACTCATGACCTGTGTCCACCTAGCCTCATTTTCGAGCAACGACCCTAGCCTGAGCTGACCAAAGTGGTTGTACGAGCCACTCCGGACCAGCTCGTGTGACAGGACAGAAATCCGTGTCACATGCCATTTTTGGCCTATGATTATACAGGCAGCTACTGTAGTTGCCTTTTGCAGCTTGCACCCAAGCAGGCTAGCAAGCAATTATTCGTGCAGGTAGCTACACTAGGCAACTGATGTACTACGTGATGTCTTTTGCAGCTGCCTGCATGATGAGACAATTGTTTCTTCATGCAGGCAGAACGTAGCTACCTGCATATAGCTGCCGACAGCTATACTACTGGAATTTGAATTTCAAATTTTGTAAAACGAGCCAATTTTTTTTCCTATAAATTGGAAGGTAAAATTTTGGATTTGAGATCGATTTCACTCAACAATATTTAATTTACATTATTCTATTCTTCAATACTACTCTCCAACTTCTTTCTTCAATATTTAGTTTCTTTTGCTATAATTTTTCAATTCTAAGTGTTCCAAATTTCATAGGTATTAATGGATTTTACTAGTGATGAGGTAACCAATTTAAGGATAGTTCGAGTACGACATCCAGGTACGACTGATATGAAAATGTTTAAATTGACATCATTGTTACTTATTAATTTTATCTCTTTATGCATAACATCAATCAACTCTTGAAAATTATTCCTTTGCATGAGTTGATGAAAATTGATTGACCAGATATTCTTCTATCAATTCATGTCATCCTTACTTTCATGAAAAAAGACTATAAAGTCATCTGAAATTGTCTTTCTCCTTTTTCTAGTGAATTTTCTTAATAACATTTGTTTTTAAGGTTGTTGAGTTTGTTTTTCTAGAACAATCTCTTGATTGTGGATAGGGATTTCGTAATATTGGTTTGATTCGAAATTGCTTTTTGAACAAGATCTCGAACAAGAATTTATCCATGTTCCTGATCATTATCAAGTACAACAGAAGAAATATATACATATTTATTCCCCCAAGACAAAATCCTTAACCTTATAATCTTATCTCCCCTGCAAACTCTACATCCTTAAGTAATCGAACATTTTCCGTTTCGAAAATTGACCTAATAATAGGATCTTTTAAAAAAAATTGTAACCCTTTAACAATTGCTTTACTTGGAACTTTGTTGAGAATTTAATATGCGGTCTTTAGTGTGCCTATTTAGAGAGATTCCGATTTACTATGCGACAATTTCACATTTCTCTATGAATTTGGCAAAAGGTCCTATCTGTCGTAGTATTCACCACTATGGTAAAATCTGACTTGTTAAATTCTTTTACACAGTTGTTTTTCAAACTCAGCTTTGTATGCTTTGAACATGTCCAGTGTTTGAGATTTCTCATAAATGAGAAATAGGTAGCCATAGTGAGAAAATTCGTCTATGACCATACTAGATTACTGTTGACCATTCCAAGATGTCGAAGTAAATGGCTCCCATATATCCATATGAATTAGTTCTAAGACGTCTGAAATCCTATTGATACATAATCTCTGTATATTTGTTTGGTTTCTCTTAATGTAATTAACATAAACACTTAAGTATGTAAAATTAAGGGAATCAAAAATTCATTCTGACATAAGATTTTTCATTCTCTTTTGAGAGATGTTACATAATCGCTTGTGCTATAATGAATCAAAATTCTCATTGGTTGATTTATGTTTAATGCCATGTGAATTCACATGCAATGTTTCTTTATAAGAGGCAAACGTATTAAGCAGATATAGATTATCGTAACTAAGAAAAAGATCAAACTACCTATCTCCAATTAAACAAGAATAACCGAATTTCTGCAATGTAGAAATAGAAACCAAATTC